GGGGGGGACTCCAACGGAAAGGTGCCCCTTTATGGGGGGGGGGGGGGGGGCGGGTCGCCAACGTGCGCTCACCTCCTCGGTGGTGCAAGCGATGGTCTTGGTATTCTGGACCGCCTGGATCAGCCCGGGAGGGAGATCCACACCGGCGGGGATGATGAGGTGATATCCCCGGGAAACCGAGCACGACACCTGGAAACCCGGCCCACCGTCACCACGCGCGGAGGAACGTCGTGCCCCCCCCCGCGGGGTGAATCCCAACGGGCGAAGAACGCGTGAGGTCTATTTAGTGCGTGGAGATCCTCAAGGCATAGGCATAGTCCTCGGTGAGTAAGAATAATGGCAGGGGGCTTCTCGTTGCGGGGGAAATACGTGTGGGATAAGAGTGTGTGCCGTCTGCAATATTCAGCCAACTACAGCGGCATTCAGCTACAAATGTGTGCCAGGTGTACCGTTGGGAATCTTGTAACTAAGATCATGTAGGCCAAGTGCATATTGGGCAGACGTAGGTAATTTACGAAGGGTGCTGGTCACATTGCAGACAACTCCGGTCTCTGCACGAACTGCCGGCGAAATGCTTGGATTCTCTGGAACCAACAGGAGGTGCAGCAGCAGCAGCAGCAGCAGCAGCAGCAAACACAGAATAGTGGCACATGAACCTAACATAAAGTGGGTGGGCAGTGTGGTGCGGGTACGACCGAGGGTCATGACACGAAAAAACATACCATATCAATGAGAAAGGTGATGACAACGAACGGATTGACAGTAACACATCCATCACCCTGGTGGCGGTTCGATAATCCTCCGCCTGGTACCATGAGGGATCAGTCGGAGCGAAAGTGCCAATACGACTTCCACTGTCACTACGGCCGGCGCCGGCGCCGTCAAAAACAAGAAGGACTTCATCTGGTAAAATCGAGAAAATGATGCCGGAGAAACATCTGTCTACCCATCGAACCGACCTTGACTTGATAGCTGTGCTCCTCCGTCATGGCGTCTGCCGCCCGATAGATGTCTTCCATGCTCTGCAGAAACGTCGTTCGAGCGACGTCCAGCATCCCATCCACGTCAGCTCGAACTGCGAAGCACTCCTGCAGGATCGATCGGAGTTAGGGTTGAGGGCCAGAGTCATAGGGTTAGCGCCCAGTATCGTTCGGGGTCGTCGGGTTTCCTTCGGAGCAGGGGTTCCACTAGGGAGACGCGTGCAACGTTCCGAGGGGCCGTTCAAGGCAGCAGGTTGACAAGGCGTACATAGTTCCACCGCGCTTGATGTCATCTGATCGGAGCTACCAGGAATTGATGAGGATGGGATTGTGGTCACCGTCGATCGAAGAGGTAGGACATGATCGAGGCGTGTTTTTGTACCCTCCCGACGAGACTGAAAGGTTTCCATTCGTTCGGCGGGTAAGCGCGGTCGTCACGTCGCCGTGGCATCACACAACACAATCGGAGCTCTTCGCCTAAAGACACAACACCGTAGGACGCGGGTTAGGAGTTGCGGGCGACAGCACTAACAAGACGTTACACCGAGACAAATCTAGCACGCACCAAGCGAGTATGTACGACGTCCCCTCTTTCCCCTCTACCTCGTGGCGCAACGCCGCCGGGTTCCTGGTGTAAGAGGTGCTGTCCGTCAGGACCGAGTCCAGCCGCTCTAGCGTCTTCTCCAGGCAAGGGTCGAGGAAGTTTTCCAGGAGGGCCTTCAGCAGAGGGCTACTGGCGCCACCGCCAGCGCCGTCGCCACTGCTGTTGCCTCCGTCTCCTGCCGCATCTCCCGTGGCGTCGTCGCCGTTGTGGAAGCGCTCGTCGTATTCTCCCTCCCCGCCGCCGCCGTCTCGGCGGGCAGTCGACTGCTGCCCGCTCTCTCGCACGCCCTCCTATTGGGTTGGGTCGGAAATTTGCTTGGGGTTGAGTGGATATACTATGGGATCAGTGCAATTACTTGAAAATAGGGTCAGGTTTCGGCTGGTTTTACAGGTATATTGCATTGTTGTTTACCAAATAAGTAGTGGGTACACAATTCAGGGGGTGGCTTTTCAGAAAAGGGTGGAGTGTTCAGTTGTCAATTTTTCTGGTTGAGGTCAGTAATTTTTGAGATTGAACGTTACAAGAGGCAACCCATCCATGATTACGCCTTAGACTGTACCAAGGTAACACGTTTACCAACCAGCCGAAACATACAGCGGAGGCAATTTTGCATCTGTTTTTGTACAGCAGTGCACAAACATTCACCCAGACGTATGTGCAGGCAGTCACGCGATCGAGAACTTGTTTTCCCCCCCCCCCCGTACCCCCTACAGTAAGTACCTCGAGAGCTTGCACCAGGGGGGCCATCAATCGAAGCGTGTGCCGCAGGCAGATGAGCGTCGCGATGCTCCTGCCCGCGGTCACCGGCGTCACTTGCCTGCTTGCACGGACACAAACAGAAAACAAAAAACATCACACGATAAACCAGGTACACTCACAAAAAAGAGAGGAGCAAGAGCACAAATAGTTCGAGGTTACTCGCGAATTGTAGGCGCGAAGACCGATGGTATGTCACATGGTGGTACAGAAACATCCGAAACTGCAGAGGACAGCGAAAGCACTCTCTACGTATCAAAATAGGTGTTCTGGTGCGCACGATTTGGGCTCCATCCGCTGCACACCCAGCAGAAGAAAAAACTGCCTTCGGAGAAATACCCCACCTCTACCTCTCCCCGCTTCTAACCAACGCCTTCGAATCAGAAGAAATGATGACGATGCTTCATACGAGCTAGTTTAAGCACCACTGCACTTCTGCTCTTGTGTACGCTAACAGCCAGTCACAAGCACCTGTTCATCAAAACGCGAGGTTGTTACTCCTGCTAGGCGTACTCTAGCCTTCCATCTTCTCCTGAAGACCTTACACTGGCAGCCATGTCTTTCCCCTTCTTTTTTATGCTTGCCACCTCTCTCACTATCAAACGTGAATGTTATATCTGGCCCTACTAAAAGCGTACCTGCCTCGCCGGGGACGGGTGGAGAACAATACACAAGGAGCCAGCACAGGCAAAACTAGCGAGACAAACCTTGAAAAAAATATGTTGCTGTCAATTTTACGTCGAAACGCAGCACGCCGAAAGAACAGGTTATTGCACCGCTTACTTGGGCACCGTGACGAGGTCGCTGAGCATTCGATCCAGATCGGTGAACTCTCCGAGAACCTTGAGGGTGCTGTTGAAGACGCCTTCCATGGTGAGGAAAAAGGTCACGAGATCGAGCCGCTCCTCGATGGTGGCGATGTCCTGTCCATAAACAAACAACGTGTCCAACTTGTCAACATACAGTATAGTGTATGCTCGCATGTTTACCAGTACAGCGCAGCCAATGCCCAAAAGATATGAGTTCATTGGCCCATCCTACCTTCTCAAGGTTGGTCAATCTAACCAACCCCGTCAGCTCGTAAATCGCACGAGCACACGGCACTCTTTTGTGGGCAAAGCCTTCGGAATCCAGGCTAGTTCAGCGCAGAGGCATCTCTCCCTCCGTTCCTCTCCCACCCCTCCCTCGCGTACCCAAGCACTGCCGTGGATTCCCTCGCTCCTCGTTGAAAATGGTCCACAAATCGTGTAGACTTCTCGCGCACAATCGTGCTTGATTCGCACCGGTTCACAATGAAGGCCTCTCAGGTATACACATGGCACCGCCTCTTACGATCTCGGCAGTAAACAATGATATCTCTGGCTCCACTTTTCACAGAGAGGGAAGCTGGCGCACGCTCATGGTGCCCCGTAAAAAACCCCAACGCCGAATCCTACAGGAAACCTCTACGGTTGTTGTTGGTGGCACGCAGCGGACGTACGTAGGGATCCAACGCCTCCGAAGCACGTGAGGTTTCTTAGTCGTCACGTACATCGGTCTCGCAGGCATGGCGGGTGACCGCCGTAGCAGCAGGACCTCCAGCGAACAGGATGGTGTTGCTACCTGGATCCTTCTAACCTTATCTTGTTCTGTCTTCACTTACCGTGCAGGGGCCGAGGATGGTAGAGCGGAGCAGCCTCGCCCCGACGGCTGTCCTGGTGTGGTTGATCACGCCAAAACTGGCGAAGAATGCATTTATCCATAGTGAATATACGTGGAAACAGCAGCAGTGTGAGGCAGCGCAGCCCAAATATGGCACCACCACCGCCATCGCCACCATCGCCGAGGAGTCGGACGGTTAAGGGTGAAGAGAAGAGAGAGAGAGAGAGAGAGAGAGAGAGAGAGAGAGAGAGAGAGACAGAAAGAGAGACCCACAGGGAGTTGCTAAGGGAGGGAGTAGATTCATGGTAGCACAGTATTGGGGAGTGTTGACGAGAGTGAATATAATATATAGCAGTATGGAGAGCCTACACGCCGAGATTGACAGCTTGACTGCAGTTGACTTGTTGCAGGCAAGATTTTTTCGGAAAAACAATATCTTAGCATGGACCACGACAACGGTAAAAAAACACGGCGAGGCGAACGCACACCACACCCTTTTTTCAGGTGGCCACGACGGCGAAACAACCAAAGGATATTGTGCACCACGCGCGAGATATAGACTGCGTTTTGAGCACCGTGCGTGGGAGATGGGTAGCTGTGATAGTCCGCAAAATTCCAAAAAAGCGGTGGAATTAACTTGGTTGTTAGGGCGTTCGTTAAGGGCCGCCCTAGAGGGCCACCAATGATTTCCATGTCCTCAAAAACGAAACTGCGATAAATACATGGTGAATGTACTTAAATACGTATCAAAGATGCAGATGAGATTTCTATTTCCCTCCTCCCTTCGGATCGGCGAGAAAAAAAAAAGGGTGGCCAGCAAATACAGATCGGTGTACAGCACGCAAGCCGAAGAGTTCGTGCCGGCCTCGCAATGCAATAGCACTGCTGTCGAATGTGGTCTTTATGAACTGATTGTTAGCAAAAAAACAACAAAAGAACGACGCAGACAGGAAAGAAGAGAAAAAACTCACAGACTCTTCTTCTGCCCGCCGGAGCGCGCGTCCGTGATGAGCTCTAGCTCCTTAGCAGTCGAGCGATCGATGTACATGCTCCCGTCCCCGCCAGAATCAGTCCGAACTCGGAGGCTTTTTCGGCGTGGGGTCGGTGTGCGCGGCGATGAACGGGTGGCCAAGATGTAATCAGTGAGAGAACGCTCTCGCAGGTTGAGAATGTCTGCTCAAGGGAGCGAAGCTGCCTACTCATGAGACTGCAACAGAGAACTAGACGAGAATGACCCCCGTTTCCACCTCACCGAGGCAACGCCCATGCGGCGGTCTTTGCGCTTCCGGGACCTTGCGCGTGACCGACATGGTGGATGGCCATTGGATGAGGTGCTGATGTCCGTGCTTGGCGGCGACGCGAGCAACCACTACTCTTGCTCTCTTGTGTGATGAAGCACGGCAGATGACCCTGGGATGAACTCGTTCGCCAAGGAGCTACTGAATTGACGCGAATCAACTTCCCTCCCGCGTACGTATGATGCGCGTTTCGCCGGACGGATAGTTTAGTCTGTGTTTTTTTCGGTTGTCTGCCTTACTGTTACCTTGCTTGGTCTAACCTCTTTCTTTACTGTCTCAACCCGTAACCACGCAAGTCGGTGGCTCATGACACCACCACCAACGCCACCAAGACCAACACCACCCTCGAGGTATCGCGCCCCCCCCCCCTTCACTCAGGCGGATCGCGCCCGGTCCCGTTGACAAGTTGATCGGGCAGTCGCAGTGCTCTCAGTGCTGCTGCCACAAATCCAGGTAAACATTCATGCATACATACATACCTACGTGCTCTTGCCACAAATCCAGCCAAGCACATCAAACACACCTGGCGTCCGCGAAGGTGGAGCCCGTCGAATTCTCAACGTAGCGGATGAGGCAGTACGATGCGGCGAGGGCGGTGTACTTGGACATGAGGTCGGCGTCGACAGATCCGGAAGCCAGTCTCTTCAGGAGCTCCGCCCCCTGGGTATGCATGCATGGATAGGGCGGGACACGTGGAAAGCACAGCAAGAGATCATCGGCGACCCTTGGCGAAGACCGAGGCGCTCGCGACCACAAACAAGACAACGCTCAACAAAGCGAATGTTTCTGCCAAGAGGTTGGAGCGCCCCTGGACACATTCAGATGATCTGTACCACGTCATGACGTGCACTTGTCAGGAAACTGAGGCTCAGTTTTGGCTTGAGACTACTTGAAGAGCTTGGGGAGAATACTGCCTGTCCGCATCCAGACGAGTGATATCGCTCAACAGACTGGTATATGGCATGTATTTGGCACGCGCGGGGCGGAGTCGTTGATTCGTCCTTCGAGGCATCGTCACAAGAGGGTGGCGCTCACGGAAGAGAGGGTTCCATTTGAATTTATTCAGCAAAGATAGCCGCGTCTATGGTGCACACAAGATTTGAGGACAGATTGGGTGTTCGCATTTCCTCTTCCGATAACTCCAACACAGATCAATCGAGCGGAGCACCAAGGCGGCCAGCATGTCCGACGAAGACCTAAGTCAGCTATGGTACGTTGGACCCTAACGAGCACCCACCAGACCATGAGGCCGGCAATCAGGGAAGCAGAAGGAAGCGGGCGGTTCAGGCTCACCCCCCCTATGTACCTCTTGGCTATTACTCCAGGGGGGTCGTTGTTCGCAAAACTAGGGTTCCTCTCCGCGGGGGTATCTCAGACAGGATGCTCTTTCGCCGGGCTTGGCAACAGCCTTGTTGTTGGGCCAACTTTGATCGCAATGAAGGACGATGAACTGTTGGCAGGAGCTTGTTTGAGGATATATCCGCGGCCCAAGAAAGATCGCTCGCCCTTTCAACCATGGTGCACGTATGAGATGCCAGGGTTTCTCTGCCAAGGGTTTCCGTCACGCACAGGCTACTTGCTGCAGGCTTCACTAAAAAAGTGGAGCCAATATCCTTCGGTGAGGCACACGTTCGGATATGAAGTGCTATCCGCTGGCACCGAGGAGCCCAAATCGTCACCACCGCCAAAATTATGACTACCAACAACAAGAAACACCCGATGTGGACCTGCTGCTACTATTGATATGCTATTAATTGACATGTGGAAAAAAACAAACCGCCGTGGGGATTGGTGTCGTGAAGCTGTAGAACAGCTCTCCGTGTCGACTTTTCACCAACAGACAAAATAAGAACTCTTCCGTGTGGACCTGCTGTTGTTCACTTGTAGACAATAAAAAACACATTTCCGTGTGGACTACAGCGGCATTGTTCACCGGTAGAAACAAGGACCTCACCTTGTCCTGGTCGAAATACTGCCTCGAAACAAAGAGCACGCGGCAGCAAGATTTTTCGATCTGGTGGAACGCGCCGACCACCTTGGACGCCAGCACGCGCCCGCGGGTGCCGTCGTGCAACAGGATCTCGTCGGGATCCACGCCCTGCAGAGCGGCGAGGGTCTTCGCGTAGCTCTGGGAATCTTGGACCCAACTCACCTACGCGATGCCGAGAAAACGGGTTTGGTTTAGCCACGAGAGGCGGTGGTAGAGGTTATATTGCGGGAGGACAAGATAAGGTGGAATATGGAGCGACACCAGCAGTGTGGGGAGAGAGCGGCACGAAGGGAAAGAATGAAACGGATGGAGGGGAGGGGAGAAGAGAAGAGGGGGAGGAAGGGCGAGAGAGGGAGGGGAAGAAGAGGGCACAGGCGAACATGGCTGCATGCATAGGTTGTATGCCGCTTCGTCGACGCATTTATTTTCAAGGATCACCAAAGAGTCTGCGGCGCATGCGTGTGACATTTATTTCCTGTAGAGGAGGATGAGGAATGTTTTTTCGTCGTCTACGGCCACAAGACAGATAGCGCCACCCTCTCTGTGGCCGTAGACGCTGTCTTATTCGAGCGAAGCGAGATTTCTAATCTCGCCTGAAATATTCCGCTCCAGTCAAGAAAAAAGTTTGCACGTGTGTCTGTTCGCTTTAACTTGGTTTTAGACTACATGACTTGATTTTAGACTACAGGGGTCAGCAGATGCACTTTTTTTTTTTCGGAGCACACTGTCAGCGGATTGCAGCAGAGAACACACGCACTGCGGGACTGCGGGCGACACCACAGAGCAGACAACACACGCACAGCAGACAGCGTAGGCATAACAGGCGACACACACGCACAGCGGGCGACAGCATCTGGGCTCGATGCCGCCGGACTCTCTGCGCTGTGATGAGGCTATGTATTGCTCTGTCGCGCATGTTTCTTTTTACCGCCGCCTAGGACGCCGATCGCCATCGCACCACTACGAGAGTGTGCTCCATTGTGGTGTCTCTCGGCGTGATAGTTGTGTTGGACATGGGTGCTGTATGTGGCGAGAGCATCGTGGCGATGTGAAATCTGGTTTGGCTTTTTCGCCTGGCGATGCGGCCCGATTGCCCGGGCCAAAAAAAACGATTTGGATTCCACGCCGCCACGAACATCTTCCCACACACAGCACCCATGCCTAACACAAACAACTGTCACGCCCCGATATATCGCAATGGAGCACACGCTCGAAGTGGTGCCATGACGATTGGTGCGCTAGGTGACGAGAACTGACTTGTGTCCTGCTGTTGTTTCGCTGGCAGTTGGAAAAACACCGAACAGTCGCTCGTTGTAGCGACAGCTAGTATATCTTTATTCTTTATTCTGCCCTGCCGTCTAGACTACACACTGGTAAAACACGCGTGTAATAAGGTGTTTAATTGGAAAAAATTCAATCCAGAATTGCGTGATTACTGCTGTGCCGTATTCTGATGCGTTAGGCGCTACCAGCTGGCCGGTACCGCACGCCGGGTTTGTGTCTGGCGAACGTCACCGGCATCTACAGCAAAGTTCTGCTTTTTTTCGTTGCACACGCAGCATTGCAGGTTACGAAACTACGTACCCTGTGCTCTCGGAGTCGCGAGCGTCGGTTGTATCAGTTTCATCTGTTTCCTTCGAAAAGGCGACTCCCACGATCACCCCATGTTACGGCTTCCACAAAGAGTGTATGAAACAACACGTTTTTTTAATTGCGCGCACGGAATCATGAGCGAGCGCGGAGAGAATTTGCTGGAGTGCATGCAAGTACAAGGAAGGTCAAAATTTTCAAAAATTCAAAAAATCTTAGCTGCACCTGAACCTTCTGTACAAAGAGCTGCTCATCATGCTATCCCATACATACACCTACAGCAGGTCGGCTGCACTAAACCATACGACAGCAGTTCGTATCCTGAACGCGTCAGTCTGAGGCGCCGCGCTTGAATAGGGCAGCAAGGAGCTCTCCTCTCTGTTGTGTGTCTTTGGTTCCCCACCTGAATCACGGAGGAATTGGCTGTATTCATCACCGCCAGACAAGTTTCCCGAGCCCTGTTCTCCACGAGTGCGCAGATTATCGAAGAAGCCACAGGTGGTGCTCTGCTCCCGGGGGGCAGCGGCGGACGGCGTGACGAGCCCTTGCTTCTTTTCGACGGAGGGCGTCGCGGCTCCATGTCGTTGTGTTCGTGTTCCAAGGGTGTGTGAGTGGTGTCTGTGATGGGATCACACTGCACATACACGTGCAACACTTGCTACTAGAGAGCCTTGTTATTGCTGGTAGACTTTTGCACAACCAGAAGACGCGCTACGAGCTACGGTAAGCTTCTTCCCGAAACCAACGTGCAGCACGGCGACGACGAGAGCGCAGCGTTTTTATGAAATTATCCCATTTGCGTGCCCCCTGTGCCCCCCCCCCCCCCCCCCCCCACATTTTTTCCCGGAAGTACTCATGTGTGTGTCCCGGGGAGCCCCTCACCTGAAACAGCAAAAACAGCTCCCAACCAAGCTCAAGCTAAAGGCCGTGTATCAAGACTAAAGACAGTGAAAGCTGGACAGTCTGAGGCATCAGGGACGCCCTCTCAAGGATCTACGGGGCTGCTGTTTCACTTCCCGACTTGAACACCTCTCATACAAAATTTGTTCCCGAAATTAGCAAGATACAGGGAAGATGCC